AGAAGGTTATCTGAAATCACATCAAACCCTCCAGGCAAGTCAGTACTCAACAGAAAATGGAATGAGAGCGCTTCCAGAGGACTGTAAGTTAAGGTAAAGTTCAGCATACATATCAAAGCTGGCTAAAATAAGAAACAAGCAAACCCTTGCCTATATCTTTGCCAAATCAGTTGTATACTTCAAAGACACAGTTGGACTGTGATTCCCAAAGGAACAGACAGTATTTAGCTACTGAGATCTCCTTGGAAATCAATGGCCAGTTCCTCCCCAACTTCCTTGAATACCATTGAGAATACGGATCTGATTTTGTTGTTCTGCTTTTCATCTTTGGTTCAACTGGAATTTGCATCTCCCTGAAGTGGTGCCATTTCAGCAGCACAGTAGCCCACGGTATGGGCTCATTCCTCTCCAGGGAAAGCATCATGTTGAGAACAATCAATACCACGTCTTGCAACACCCAGGTTCTCCTCGGAGGTCTTCACTGAAGTAACAAACAGGCCCAACCCTGCTCTGTTTAGGAGGTCTGATAAGATCACTGCCCAAGGTGCCATGGCTGCAGGCCAAAATACTGTCCCAATAAACCATTTTCTGGAGGACCACCTTGTCTGGACTTGTCTTTCCGTATGAAGCCAGGCAAAGCAAAGCATTCAGATGCTAAAAATGTGTAACTATTATTGGTGTTTGTCCAACATTCAGAGGCTCATAAATCTCCCAGGAAAGATAGAAAAGGAGCATGATTAAAAAAAAAAAAAAAAAAAAAAAAGAAACTTTTTGCATTGATTCCTCTCCCACTGCTTTCAGAAAAGCTATTACCTGTTGCTGAAATGTCCCCCTTGACTAGCTTCCAAACCAGCACTACCCTTACAAGGGCTCTTTTTCCAATCTTCTTCATTAAGAGTCAGACACATACACATACAGCTGCATGTGATCAAAGAGAAAGTGCTAACCCATGCATGCAGATTTGTCTAAAGGTGGAAGGCAAAAGCCAGCAGCAAAAAGAAAGAGAAGAGAACCCAGAGAGAGTTTCACTCTTTCACTGAGGAAGGGAATGCTTTCTGGCAGAGGAACACAAGGGAATGCTTTCTGGCAGAGGAACTTTAAAAAATGAGAACTAATTCACTAGCTGTGCATTGCAGCTATTGTTTCCAGCAGCTGAGACAAAACACTGCACTGATCTCCATACTGTACTTACCCTTTTTGTTTACATCAGTTACCTTGAGACATGCTGCATGCTTCATGCAAATGAGACAACAAGTGCCAGGACAAAGACTTGCGTTAGCAAAGAGAACAGACACAGCACTCAGTACAAACCAACCCCTACTAGAAAGCAGAGCTAAGGAAAGAACATTTCCTGTTTTTAAGTAGCCAATAGATATAGTGAACAGTTCTTTGTTTTTATTGCCAACCAGGGAAATAGCTTGTACTCCTAACATTTTTTAAGGATGTCATATGTACACACAGAGGATCTGGTGGAAAAGTGCAGTCCGAATGTCACGTAGGAAAGCAAAGAGGACACCTGCATACAGCAGGGTGCTCAGGACCACTCAGCACAGCTGCACAGTCCAGCCCTGCTGCCTTCCCCCACCCTGTCCCAGTGGCAAGGGAAGTTCACAGCTCTGTAGTGACTGTGGACTGAGACTTGCTTGAGAAAGTTGAGAGCTAAAGGGGTAGATTCCTCTTTATAGGAGCTGGTTGCCTGTTACAGATCCCTCTTGCCCACAGCCTTAAAATGCACATTTGTAATTGGAGCATCTTCCCCTGGAGGTGCTCTGCTTTGGGAGGTGATCTGCTTTACGCTTTCCAGAGTAGAGCTGTGCTGGAGCAGAGATGAAGCTGACTGTGCCTCAGACCTGCAGCTGAGAGTTAAGACACCACATAAACAAAGCTCAACTTCAGAGCAGTCAGCTCAGTCTCTCAGTTAACACAAAGCTCAACTTCAGAGCAGTCAGCTCTGTTGACAGAATTTCAGTTGATGACCACATCTCCTGTGTCATGGGTGCAAGATACAGATTAAATAGTCTTTTATAAAACATTCATGAAAAGTTGTATATAATTGTCTAGAACCTCCTAGTCCTGGCAGGAAAAAAAGGAAGGAAAGGAAAAGGAATGAAAGGAAAAAAAGGTACCTGGAAGGAAAATAGAGAACCTGTCTCCATGAATGGGTGCTCTTCTCCTTAGACTGCTCTGTGAAGAGAGCTGGTCCACAGGTCCTCCCCAGCTCCTTCCTTCTTCAGGAAAATGCTAGAAATTAATGTTATTGGCATTCTGGAAACACATGGAACAAGAATATTTCAATGCAGAAATCCAAGTGAAATCTATTCTTATTCTTTTCTTGGCATCCCTGAAAAGTAACAGTTTTATTACAGAACAGAGCCTATATTAATAAAGAAACACAGCCTTCATGAAAGAAGATGAAAGAAAATGAAGACAAAGCATGGACAAAACAGGAGATAGGAGGATGCTTCCTAGAGTCCTTTAGAAGAAAATCTCAGCTTTATTTCCAGGATTAGAAGGACACTTTTGACTCTGTGTTACACACACCCACTCAAATTACCTGCTTATTTTTTCTTTTCAGAGCTAGGATCAAGAATTTGTAAAAACAATCATGAAAAATCACTGTATGTCTGAGTGAGCATTTCACCTCAGTTTGCCTAGAAGACCCAGTATTTGCTGGGAGAGAACTAAGTACAGATCAGCACAGATGTACATCCGCATAGTTACACTCAACAGAGCAATTGCATCAGTGGGCAAGCAGCCTGTCTTAACTCTTCTTTGGTCACGTCAAGATGGTTGCAAAGCTCTTTGCTGAAGATCTGACTATGTGACCTTTAAATGTGAGTCCTAGCGAGAGGGATGGTTTGAGACTCATACTTATTGTTTAGTACAAATGTTGGCATTTTTGGAAGGAAGACAGCATCTCTCTGTCTAAAAAGAGACAAAGTGACAGAGAGAGGCCCTATTTTTTGCTAGATTGATAGAATAAGAAAATACAGACACACCACAAACATGCTTTTCAGGATGAAGCACAACCTGCAACCTTCAAATCCTATTTCAAAGGAAAGGAACAAACATGCAAGACAGCAATGTCCCTCTGGGAGAAAGGGTGCACCAGCTGCGTGTCCTGTACTACCAGCCCCACTGGGGCTATCTCAGAATGACTGGTCTCCAATTATATTATTTCCATTAAGCATTTAAATGTGCAACACATAGAAAATAAAACTGTTTTCCTAGACAGTTCGATACTTGGCAGTGTGAGTTGTACTTGCATATATGACAGTCATATTGAATACCTGCAAGACCCTAGCCAGTGGCTGCTGAGTCAGTGAGAATGTTTTTGTACAGTTCTGACAAAAATTATTATCCAAACAGCTCAGCTTGATACCAACTATTTCACATATACAAATACAACCTGCTTAAACAGTCTGTTTTCTGCTCTGGGTACAATTAAATAATAGAGACAAGTGGCAGTATTTATGCCCAGTGAAGTCTGCTGTGCTGACGGCCGTCCCTCTGGGTGGTCTTTATAATGGTTACACAGAGTATCATGAATGGTAGCTCATCTGCCAGCTACACCATAGGTATGGCTGAAAATTGCCTGCACATGAAGTCTCCTGCCTGCCCTCAGACAGGAGATTTTGATCTCATTTACAGAGTTTGGTGATGAATGACAGTGGGGTCATCTGAGTATACATCACCAGACTTTCCAGGACTGAAACAGCCTTACAAGGAATCTTCCCAAATCAATAGGGTCGCCTTCGAGATGAATCAGGATAAGCTCCTAAAAGGTGAGACAACAGGTCCCACAAGTTGCTCTGATCAGCTCTTGTTCCTGTACGTATCTGCACAGAAGAAACTCCATCTATGGGAGGGTGGAATACGCCTGAAATGGGAGCCAGAGGATGAAATACAATCTGCAATGCAGCAACAAGGCACTTGCCTTTGTGTGAACAGGAGAAGGTGGGAAGAGATGCCAAGGAGTCCCATAGACCACTCCCTACAGTGATGCTGCCTAAGGGATTCAAAGACCAACCCCATTAGATATTCCTTGAACCTTTTGATGATAGAGGCTCCAGAGCCTCCCTGTGTGGCTTCTTCTGGTACTCCACATCCTTTTTAACCAGGGTGCTTTGTCTTAGCATCTAACCTAAATCCTCTTTATTGCAAATTAATCAGATTTCTATTTTGCTTTCCCCAGGGGAGATGAAAAACAGTTCATCACTGCCTTCTTTATAACAAGATCTATGAGCTGGACAATGGTTATCAAACTGCTGCTCCTGTCAAAGAAAACTCTCAAAGGATTTGCAAAAGATTTATTTTATTTATTGCTTTCCCCATATCCACCAAAGGGAAGAAATGCATTAAAGTAGTTAGACAAGATTTATTTTTCATAAATCCATGTCTGTGTTTCTTTATCACCTTATTATCCTCTTGGCACATTTAAACTGATTATTTAATAATTTGTTCTTGCATCCTTCTGTTGCACAAGTTAGATTATTCTGGTGTGCAGCTCCCAAGTTGCTTCTTTCCTACTTTAAGAGGTAGTACTTTTGTGTTTTCCATTTTCAGTCCCCTTAAGCATCCTTCATCACTGCTTGAAGAGAACTGGTTCAGAGACTGTCATGGACTAGCTCCTGCAGCACTCTATGCTAAACCTCACAATGTCTCAGTGCCCTGAATCACCCAGTTTCCTAGATATTCTCAAGCTTTTTATTTCCCTGCTTTGATCTACTCATCTTTCCTCTTCTAATTAATTATGTTAGCAGGACTTTCATGAATGCAGAAGCAAAGTAGGCATTGAATATTGAAGCCTACAGAATTACCTCTTCTCTCAGTGTGATATGATACTAAACAAGAAAGAAGACCATTTGCTTTTTGCTAAATGTCTATCACCCCAGCCTAAGGGTTTCTGTCATTACCAACATGTGCTTTACGTTCCTTGTTAATGATTTGTCTCTCTTAACATATTTTGACTTTCACATCTGTGAAAGAGATAAATGATATAATGATAACTAAGTATCTTGCTGCTTCTGTCTTCCTTCTGCACCAGGATTTTTGTCTTTTGTCTCTAAAACAGTTTCTTCCAAAAGCTACGGGCTTTCTGCCTGCCTTTAATCCCATTTAGGCTACCTATAGCTCCTGAGTTGCCATTTTCCAGAACTGTCTGGGCTGGCACGGGGGCTGCTGGGTGCTAGAACATCTCTTGTGGTGGGAAAATACAAATCAAGAAGGGCTGATGTTAGCATGACTGGCTTCCTGGGGACAGCTCTCAGCATTGTCCTACCACTTAGTACAGTGCTGAGCCCAACAGATCAGTTCATCTGACCACACACAGGCCTATAGAGCCATCAGAAAGATGCCATGAGTTATCCAGAACTTCTTTGTGGGTCTGGGAGATATCATCAGACATCAATTTCTGTTTCTAGTGGCACCCAAAAACATTTCTTGATATTCTAGGCCAACTCAGATGTCATTGGAATTGAATGGGTGATCTGTGGCTGCTGGGTTGATTCTCCAACAGACCTGTAGGGTGTCTGGGAGCAGCAAGAGCAGGGCTGTCACACAGCCAGCTGATAACAGGGTCCACTGATAGTCCCAGGTGAGGTGAAGGGATGAATCAGGTCTAGGGCCCAAGCAGGGAGTCACGTCTGAGCAGCAGGAAACCAGGCCAGAGAGAGATGAAATCAGGGGCACCTGCAATGCAGCTGAAGCAAGGTCTGATCCAGGACACATGGCTGGGGTCCCAGGTGAGGCTGTTCAGGGTAATTGAAGCTTTTTCGTGCATGAGGGGCCCTAACAAGGGCACGGGCTGTTTCTGTTACCTTCACAGACATCCTGAAACCCCTCATTAACTTCTGTTCCTGCAAACCGGCTCCTATGACCGCACATTTGTTATTTTCCTCTAATTTCCATCCAGACATTATGCAAACTTGCCTTTAACTTCTCTTGGGTTTTGAACAAGTCTATGGGCTATTACTCTTCCAAAGAGTGCTTCTGTCCCCTTCATCTGCCCTTCCCAAACAAGCCGTTGTTCTCCCTGCCACCGCTCCAGACTTGTGTGCTTTCACTGCCTTTGATGTCAAATCAGTCAGTGTTGGCTGTGACTTCAAGTTCCTCCTGTTTACCCTCCTTCCTCCCAGCACCACTGTACAAACTTGGATTTCACCCATTTCACTCATTATACCCCCTCTGTCCTCTCCAGTGCTCCTGCTGAAATTTCCCACTGATATGACAGCCTGTCAAAAAAAAAACCTACCTTAAAAAAATAATAATAAAAAATAAACAAACACAACACTCTGTAGCTTTTGCTGTCAGGCAGCTCAAATCTAGACCCATGTCTCTCCCAATCTCCTTCCAAAAGCCAAAGCCACTCAGCCATGTGCACATTCATACCCGTCACGCTAACAGCTTCAACACTCTCAGGAGACTTCAGGTGAGAGATACCAGAGCTGAGAAGGAATCCTGTTGTTTAGTATGATCTAGAAATGTGTTTTATTTTCTCTTTTGTAATCTTCTTTCAAATTTCATAATTAGGAATTTAAACTCTTGTTTTGCCAGAGTAAACTTGTTTTCACCCTTAAGCATGTCTGGTATTAGAGGCAAGTCTAGGTGAAGCTATGAAATCTGGATTGGCGTTACTTTTTCTCCGACAATGCATCTGAAAGCAAGCAGCATGTGTCCCAGGACACCAGGACCTGATGACACCACTTTGTGTCACCAACTTGGAGCAATTTGAAACCGGTGTGACTGTGCTGGGCCGAGTTGAGAGGCTAGGGCTAGGCTTGGATTTGTCACATTCCAGATCTGGTGGAGTTAGAAGAAAAATGCAGGAAAACCCTACCTTGTCACGAGCATTTGTGCTGGAGTTGCCATTAGAGCTTCCGCTCCCTCGGTAACGTCCAGGCCACCTTCCTGTCCTGAGACCTGTACAGAGCCAATGGAGCCAGGATCACAAAGACTCCTTGTATGCTGGCAGAAAACAGTGATGGTAAAAAAAATAAAAAAATAAAAATTATTGGAATGCAGAATCCTCCTTCTGGGGTAGGGTTTGCTGATGAGGGGACTTCTTTTTCCAGCTCATGCAAGGCCAAAACCTGCTGTCAGGTTCAGGTGTTTGGAACATTCATACAGATATGGGAACAAGGAGAGACGGTTGTCCTCTTCTGAGCAGTTCCTGAGGCTTTCTTTGAAGTTTGATGCTGTCTGCTGTTGGAGATGAGGTGTTGGGCTGCATGGGTCTCAGCATGCTCTTGTTGCGGAAAGAGGGAGAGCAGTGGGAGCCAGGATGGTCTCGTGGAGCTGATGGCCTCTGAAAGACCTCAGCATTTTTCTGTAATTTTTTTCTAAGTGACTTTCCTTGTGCCTGCAAGAGCGGTGTGCGTATCTGCTCACCCATCCCCTCCATGTTAAAGAATTGAAGAGGCCAGAGCTGAGGCAAGTGAGAAGGAAACAATCCCCAGGGCAGGTTGAGTTCGGGGCACAGCATGAGACATACTTTGCATTCCCTGAGCCAGCAACCAGCTGCAACACATCTTATATGCAATAGGCAAGTCCCAGTCAACACTGAAGGCAGGTCTGTAGCTTTTCCACAGGAACATCTAAGGCCAGTTCAAAAGCTGAGGGTAGGCAACACTGAAACCAGGCCAGGAGAGATCATCTCTTCAAGATACCAGGCATGAACATCACTGAAGATCAAAATTGCCCTAAGGGGAAATAATAACTGAACTTTGCCACCACTTTCAGTGTGCCTGACACTAGGTCAGCATTTATGATACAATTGTTTTTTCCCACTATCACCATCCTTTGCATTTATATAGAAAGACAAACTGAAACACTGAGAGAGAGCAATCTGACCCCTGAGATTAAGCGACACGTAAATAAATACAGATCTGTGCTATGCCAGCCACATACCAGCCTCATTCTCCGTTTTCTTATTTTGATTCTCACCAGGGAAGTAACACCACTTGAAACTGCTTTTCTTATTGAGTTTGATCACAAATATTGTTACCTGTTTTCAGAGCCTCTGAAATTTAATAGAAAAAGGTATCAGTTCATGTCTACATGAAACCTGCTGTTTCTGCTACTGACCCTCTGTGACCTTGGGCTACTCAGTGGTGGAAAATAATGAAAAGACTTATTATTTCAGTGAAAAGAAATCATCAGGAGCAAATGTAGGATACTTTTGAGTAGAAAGTTTACAAACCAAGTTGGTACTGGACGTTTTTCCCCACTCTCATACAAGGTATTCACCACAGAGAGAACAATGTTACCCTCCAGCTAAATACTCAAACAGCCAAAGAAAGAAAATCAGACATATACATTGCAATGTAGGAGAAACCCTTCTTGAGATCAGACAGACATCTGATCAAATGCCCCAGAGATATGGTAAGTTCTACCTCCTTTAGGAGATTCAAATGCAGATTTAAGCAAGCTGCACATTGTTTGTATGCAGCTACCTTGGTTCCCATCCTGGTCACTGAATCAATTGATGGAAACCTCAAAAAGGGCTTGGCACGCCCTCAATAGATCTCTGCATGGGATGAGGGGGATTGTTCTCCAGTGCCTGCCGTCTGTATGGATCTGCTCTCCACTGGCTGAAGTGGGAACACAGATGTCCAGCTCATGTGGAGATACATATTTTAATGTGCAAGCTGAATCCCACTTCCAGGTGTATTTCAGTTCCCACACACAGATGTCTGAAGCCACTGAGATACACGGCTCTGTCACACCTGTCCTTGAACGGCTGCTACAGACTGGCATACCCCCTGTCTCATTCCAGACCTGTCCAGGAGTTACACCTGCCCTAAAGGCATCTCAGGTGGACAGCTGAACAGAGACCTCACAGTCATTCAACCACAGACTACAGCTGTTGATGCTGGGCTCACAGGAAGACGTCCCCATGTCCACATTGTGCCTGGGGCTAGACTATTTCTGTCTTCTAGGATTTAAAAGAGAGCAAACCTTTGAAGTCCTTCATATCATTTTAATTACACACCTAAGTAAGGAATCAAGCAGAGTTAAAAGTTGAAGGTTAAAAGTTTTCAGTAGGGCCACATGGAAAGTACCCTGGGGATAAGGAGCATTCATTGTGAAAATGGTAGTCGAAGATGATTACTACAACACTTGCAGCATGTGAAGTCCATTCACACTGGCATAGGATGCAGTAGTTGCTAAAGACCTGATGTTTCATGGCTGCATTAGCTGGAAGTAGATGCTAATGTCTTGGATTAAAACATCAGTGGTGATTCCTGAATTTATAAAGTACAAAAAACTTTCTGTGGAGTTTCGCACATAAGACACCAGCAAAGTGGAAGAAGGAATATACCTCTTTATTTTTATTTTTTAAAGAAACACAGTCTTTCCAAATGAAAATGTTTTTGTTTCCAAAAGTGAATTTATAGTTTTCACACACTTTTTAAATTATAATAAATAAATGAATAAATAAATAAATAAATAAAGTTTTAAAGAAAGCTACTGGTTCTGGAAAAGGTTTCATGTACTCAAAGACTCATTATTTTGTCAAAAAAAAAGTTCCAGCCAAATATTTTCAACAAGCCATGAAGGCAGTGCAACATTATTAATCACTTTCTTGGACAATGTGCATGTAATAAAACAAACTAAAATTAGCTAGAAAAAAAAAATTCAAAGAAAAGGCCACTTTCCAACATCCTGACAAATGAAATAAGTGGAGAACCAAACAAAAGGCTAAGAATACAATTAAGGCAAAGCAGGAACCAAAGGGGCGACACTGGTCCAGTGCACTTCATATATTGTCTTTAATACATCACAGCCCCCAGAAGTGCTTAATCAAAGTAATTGAAAGCAGGAGAATAAAATGACTTGCAGGCAAAGGAAAAAAAGATAAATAGAGACTGTGGTACATATTAGAGAGATATGGGGAAGGGGTTTTTCAACAGTTCCTCTTCCAGATATCTCTTCAGACCACTTATCTTCATTGCTTGTCTCTGAAATCATTACCTTCCCCACACACACACACCTTAAATAAGGTGACAAACTGCACAGCATATTGGCAGTGAGAGAGCAGCTTTGATTTATCTAATAATATTAGCATATTTTCAGTATCATTTTTCTGTCTCATTCTTTATAAAGCTTATCATCACATTCATTCTTTCTTTTTGACTGCCACCAGGCTTTGAACTAAGGTGTATTATTACTGACCACACGTGGCTTTTCCTTGCCCAGCCACATATATTAAAGTTCCAGTTATTCCTCCTAATCTGGTGGTTATTCATCTTACTTTTCATCCGACACCAATCTACTCATTCACCTGACTTTGGCAGGTCCACCTGGATATTTTCCCATTCTTCTGAGGTCTTGACTGACCTCAATAGTTCTGTGTGATCTGAAAATCTTTCATTGTTCACTTTCTTTTCAAGATCATACACAGTGCCGCCTAGGATGGTGTCAGGCTCACGAGTTAAATGCAAAATGGCATTCACCCAAAACATAAATTATATCTACTTATAGAGCCAACATAGGAAGCTTAAAATAAAAGCATGTGTTTGAATAATATAATAGTTATCCTTCATTTTATCAATTATGCTAGGGGTCTTTTGGTTAATGGTTTACTTTTTTTCCTTCAATGTGAAAGAATATCATCATGTAAAGGAGTTGCATTAATACTACATTAATGGTGTTGCACAGACAAAGACAGAAGTGACAAAGCACCATGGAAGGTCAGAGTCAGCAAATTCATGGAGGGATGTCCTTGTGACCATGTCCTTGAACCACTTCCACCACTCTCGGGAACTTCTGTTCTCCTGACAGTACTCCAGAGCAGTTCACAAACCTGGAGGCTCAAAGGCTTTAAAATTTTGCAGCTTGATTATGTGTGCAAATATATTACATATTGTCGTGGTTTAACCTGGCCAGCAGCTAAACACCACGCAGATGTTTGTTCACCCTCCCCCCTCCCTCTCTGGGACGGGGAAGAGAAATGGAAAGTGAAGCCCGTGAGTTGAGATAAAGACAGTTTAATAAGACAGGAAAATAATAATACTAATAATAACAACAATAAAAATAATACAATGGTGATAATAGTACTAATAGTAATAATGTGTACAAACAAGTGATGCACAATGCAATTGCTCACCACTCGCTGACCAATGCCCAGCCTAACCCCGAGCAGTCCAGCCCCCTCCCCCAGCTAGCCACCCCTATATATTGTTTAGCATGACGTCAGATGGTATGGAATACCCCTTTGGCTAGTTTGGGTCACCTGTTCTGGGTCTATCCCCTCCCAGCTCCTGTTGCACCCCCTAGCCTGCCCGTTGGCAGGACAGAGCAAGAAGCTGAGATGTCCTTGGCTTAGTATAAGCACTGCTCTGCAACAATTAAAACATCGGGGTGTTATCAGCACTCTTCTCATCCTAAGCCAAAACCTAGCATTCTACCAGCTACTAGGAAGAGAATTAACTCTGTTCTAACTGAAACCAGGACACATATTGTGATCTCAAAGCAGTATGCTACTTGTTCCAGGTTCACACTGTTTACTGTCTCTTTCACCACCCTTAACCATCAAAATATTTTTTATTTTTCAAAATGATAATTTGGAGTTAAACAGTATCCCATCCTTGGCCTCCCAGCTGGCCCACTGGGAAAAGTGACTTTAACATAAAAAGCCTAGTCCAAATCTGGGTACACTGAAAGCAAGAAAAAAGGTTCGGAACAGACTTAGCAGTGGGGGAATGGTGACAATAAAATGGAAACAACATTGTTCTCTCTTTCTGACTGGATACTCTTGACAGGAATAAAGAAACTCAGATCAGCTGACAGAACATTTTTATATTACCTCCAACAAAATGTGACAAGCAAATATATTATTATGATATTAAAGAAAATCTTGGAAAGGGAAAGAATAAATATTAACATTGCAAACTTATAAAAGTGCATCCACACATAATTTTGGAGATATTAAATTTCCCCAGTTTCAGACAGACTCATCTGTAATGCATTGTAACAACTACTTGAGAGTTTCTGGAAAGGGGCAGATGAATCCCAAGAGAACTTTCTCCAACCTCACAGTGCAGCCCAAAGCACAGCACAGGGGGGACAGGCAGGGTGGGATGGAGACAGGCTGACCCAGAAGACAGTCTTGTTGGTCCAGAGCCCACCCTGTATAGAGAAAATCATTGTACACGGTGTATTTGCGCTCACTGAGGCTCCAGGACCTCCAGGAAACAGGAGGAAGGCTATTATGCCATCTCGGCAGTTCCAGGGTATGCACAGATATTCTAATTGCAAATACCACTGCTTGGTCAAGGACCGTTCTCATTGCAGGTGGTTTGCAAAGGCAGCTGTGCTTTAAGCTCAGTGTAAATGATCGGTCATACTCTGAGCCTGGGAAAATGTGTCAGCTGTTGGCAAGAAGCACTCAGGGCAGTGTAAGCAGCTGTCAACAAGGAAGTCATCAAATGGCATTTCCTGCTTGGCCTTGGCCACCACTCCATCTGAAGCTTCAAGCACAGTAAATCACAAGAGAAACAGAGAGGAAGACAGGAGGGGACCAAGGACATAAACATCCCTTGGTAAGCTAAGACTTGATGCAGGCCACTTTGGCAGGACTGCCCAAGAGCAAGTAGCAGTAGCTAGCTTTGTACAAGGCATCCTGTGGGATGGTTTCTGGGCAAGGTAATGTGGAAGCTTTTTTGTTTGTTTGCTTTTTGGTTTTTGTTTTCACACCCACTCTCTCTCCTGAGATTTATTAAGGGGTGTTGGATAGGTAGTGGGAGAAAGGACAGATCTTTGGATTAATACAAAAATGATACCAGGTTCGTGACCCAAAGAGCTGGTGGACACTTGCTGGAGAAGTGGAGCTGGCAGAGCAGGGAGGCTTGGTGTGCAAGTCACAGAGGAGACAACTTTTTGGGGTGCAAAACAACCTTCCGCAAATACTTACACATTGATGGGCACACCTGGGCCAGTCCACAAAGCACTCACTGTCTCCTAAAAACTCTTGCAGCTTCAGCTAGGTGCAGGCTTTCCTCCACATTCAGGTAACCCACACTACAGTACAAAGCTTTGCACGTGTACTGGTTGTGAGCACCCAGACTAAAAGCCAGGAGGTCCTTTGTACCAAAAAGTCCTGCATAAGGTCAAACTATTGAGCATATTGAGAGTTGCTGTGGTCCTGATATGTGTCCTCCCCATCTCCTTCCTGTTGTTATCAATTCCTTGCAGACATGCCTTTGCATGTAGAAGGCATTTGCCTCTGCTCATTTTAATCATTGGAGAACCGTACCATGTGTTCTGCTTTCCATACCACATGTACCAGGTTAGATGATTTTTGCAGATGACATTTGCAGAGAGCTGTTCTAGTATTGCTTATGCAGTGGCACTACAGCCACTCTAGGGAAAAAGTCTGGCTCTCTGTCTCCAGTGATTTATTGCCCCAATTTCAAACAGCTAATAAATCACTGCAGAGAGTCCTAAGCTTGTGTTCACATTTATTATGGTTCTGGTGGGAGAAGTGATGTGCAGATATTCCGGATACACAAACACATGTTCTCGTGGATTTGATGGGGATCTGAGGCATGCAGTCAAAAGCTAGCAAGAGAGTGAGTGGTAGGCTAGTGATAGACTCTGGTTCCTGCCTGGCATTTTTTTTTTGTTACCTTAAACTTGGAAAGCATAAAGGAGACCAGGGCTTGGTTTAGTGCATAGTAATTTAGAGGGAGCTGTATATATGCCTCATTGACTGTTCAAACAAAAATCGGGGCACAGTGAGCAGGTGTAACTTTTACTTTCAGCAAAATCTAGCCTTCCTTTGTATTTTCTCTTGAACCCTAGGAGCTTTGGAATCCTCAGCCCTGAAGATTCAGAAAACCTCTCTCTCCCTTAGAGGTCTATCTACACAGCAGTAGGGCTAGCCTCTCTCCTGCTGTCCTTTTCACCCTATGTAAGATGTAAGATCCATGTGCTCCTTCAGGATCTGCCCAACAGAAATCCTGCCCTACCTTCCCTCTTGTGCCTCTCCCCTGCTAACAGTGGTCTCTGTCATGTCTCCCAGGTCCAGTTGCTGATTGTCCCTCACAGTGCCTGTCCCTTGTCCAGCAGCATTCACAGGACCAAGCATATAAACCTTGCTCTGAATTGCCCTTAATGGTCTCCTTAAATGATCATACTTTGAAGGACCCCAAGTACTTTGAGCACCTCAGCAGTTTCAAGCCATTATTAATGGCTTGAATTCATACTCTGTTTTTATTTGCATGTTATATTAAAATTTGTGAGATTTACTCATGGAGCCACAGCTTTTAAATCCAGAAGGACTGTTTAGTTCCCTTCCTCTCATGTCCTGCACTAATTACTTCTGTGTCAAGAAGTGGGCATAAACCCACTGACCTGGCTGTCTAGGAGACAGCTGTGATTTCATCTCTACCTCAGAAATTGTTTATAAAGAAATGAGAAGAAGGATGTCTCAAAACATGCAAACGAAAAAAGAGGAAAGAAAAAAAAAGTACTTGGTTACTCCAATTTCAAATTTTGTAGTGGAGACTAACAAAAAAAAAAATCAAAATAGCTCAAATAGTTGAAATAACTGGAATTTCATATATTCATTTTACCAGAACAAAACCTTTGACTCACTCCAAAGTAACCTTTCTAGTTTTCTAAAACTTCCAACAAATTAATAACGGAGAAAACAATTATTTATCAAGCTTTCAGTTGTAATTTTTTTTTAAACAAGACTTTCTCTCCTTATAAGGAAAGTCAACAGCCTTTGTTCTGAGGTAATTCAAGTGCCTCCACAGTCAGGAAAGTTTCCAAGATTTCATCTTAGATGTTTTGTGTTTTTCTTTTTTTTTCTTTTTTTTTTTTTCTTCCCCTCCACAGCACCTGACCTTTCCTCCAAGCTCCTTCCTTCCCTCTTTAATCTGTAACCAGTACTTCAGTTGAGTGATTCAGTTGGGTTTTTATATTTTCCTTGAGAGCAACCCATACCTCTGTAGCGTGGACAGTGCTTCTTCTTGCTTCCTGACAAGCTGAAACTAATTCCCAGTCCTACGGCCCAAATTTCATGGTATTTGGACATTGCCCAGTTCAGCACTGTGAAAGCTCAGGCTTACGTATGTAGGCACCCATTACCTACTGAAACCACAAGAAGTCAGGGATACATGGTCTGTAGTACAAATCACCTGCACCCCAGCTTCAATGTCAGTGTGACCAGTGGCATGTGCTGCTCTGTGCTCCACTGCTGCACTTTTAACATGGATTTTACCCAAGGTTTGACTGACTACTTCTGACTAAGAAAATCAAGCTTGGAGTCAACAGATTAAAACCTCTATCAGGGCCTCTCTATCCAGGAGCAGTTCTGTGGCCATTGCACACACAGAAGAGGACTGGCGATCCTTAGCTGGGAAGCAGAAGTTGGCCCCAGGAGTGGAAATGCCCATGCTGTGTTGAGCGCCGCTGTCACAGATGCACTGGAAGAGGGCAGCTAGGGACTGGGACAGGGACGGGGACCTCCTGGTGCTGTAAAACCAGTCAAGATGGAATGATGCAGGGGTGGGCAACTGATTGTCTCCTCTCCAGGATGGAGAAGGACCATGGTTACTTGCCTCTGACACCAGCAGGCAGAGTTTGGAGCTCCCTCTGGAGCTGAGGCTTCCGATCTGCAGTTTTATGCTCATTTCAAGCTAGCTGAAGCATGGAATCATTTCCACCACCCGGCCTGAAAACATGCAAAGTGAGAGCTCCATCCACCCACATTTTTGGAATGAGCATCCCGCACCCAGAAACAAAGTGCTCCTGGGACCATGAGGAGAGCGGGTGTCAGGACCCTGATGTGCCTAGAGCGCTCAGAAAGGAAGATGCCATAGCAAAAAACAGTCCTTCTCCGTAACTTATTTCTGCTTGTGTAGATGGCAGAATTGGAGTTCAGGTTTGTGGCAGACTGAAATCTTTGGGGCATATACAGTGATAATATTATTATAAAACCTTGTTTTTTAATGAGAAAATGATGCATTCTTTTTTTTTTTCCCTCTTAAGAGTGGTACAAAGCTCACAGTTGCATGATGAGAAATAGCTATTGTTCACAGATATTAACAGAAGCACAAATCTGATTCTTTGGTAGAGGATCTGATAGATCACTATGGATCTGAAAGATCACCATGATATGGGAAAAGAAGGAGAAAAAAAAATATGAAAAAAGAATATGAATATGAGATACTGAGTCTCCTACATAGAGGGGCACAAGGCTCTCTAACATAGATCAGTGAAGGACTAGGTTGGCTGGAGGAGGACAGCAGAGATGAGCAACATGATGTCTACAAGTGGCTACGGTAAGAGAATTTGCATGCAAAAATACAGGAAAATAACCTGGATCTGGTCTTGCTCCCCTGACAGCAGGGGTTTCTGTACTGAAATTTTCCTTAGAAAAGTATCAGGAAAACAGAAGGGAACAAATAAACCAAAAGAAGATCGGATGCAGGTTCCCTAGAGATGTGAGGGCTTAGGACGTCCCCCAGTAAAGATCCAACCGAACTGTTAAGGGAGTCAGTGGCATGATTGATATGCATTGGAGGAAGACTAACATCCTTTGACAAATAGCAGTGGGAAAGAGAAGAAAAGAAAGTCCCACACAGAGCAAATGGTTCTCCAACAGAAGCAGCCACCATGGCAGTGCTGCTGGGAGAAGCTTCTGCTGGGATTCCTCTGCAGCCATCACTGGGGTAACTGGCTGCATTATTCTTGTTCGAACAGCTCTGTTCAGACCATGTGGTGAGTCATGCCAGCATATTTAGATCCTTACATAACCAATGCCAAAAGGCAAGGTGTTACAGCATTGCTATGCCAACACAAATGCCCAGGGACCAACTTTGCACTCAAGAAAATGAGTAAGCAACCCCTCCAGAACAGACTGAGAGCATCTCTTAGACATCACCAGCATGGTATTTTGCTACAGGAATGAGCTCTACCTCTGGTGGCAGAATTTTTACCAAATGCAGTACTGGTGAGGCAAGACTGAAAAACAAATCAGGGCTATTTCTACATTCCCAGTGCAAACCCTGATTCATGGAGTTATGCATATTGCCACAGTGACCTGTTGGTGCATGTTTAAGCATCAGAGGTAAAGTGTTTAGCTAGCATTACAGGACCCTTGTAGACACTAGAGATACAGATGAGCATCATTGCAGTCTACCTACAAACAGGAACTGAAGATTGAGTTTGCAGGTATGATTTGAAACTAAATAGTAACAGGCATGTTATTCTCATATCACTCAATTTTGATGTCTCCTGTGGAATTACAGGGCTCTCTCTAGCTTTGTGCTGTTGAAGAAATGTGAAGTGGCCTTAACAGAAGGTATTATTTTACCATATTCTCCAAACTGGGCATCTCACTTGGCTATCCAAAACAGCAGCTGCCTCACACCTGCCCCCTGAAACAAGGGAAACTCCCTTTATTAAAGGTTCAGTCCCCAGGAAACAGAATGACACTCTTGCCTTGCAGATACATACCACACCCAGCACTTACTTCTAATGAGGCTGGTAACCACTTCAAAGCAGCACTGCCCTGAGTAATACTAATTCCTGAGAGGGTTAAATCAACACTTCCTAAATAAGAGCACCTAGCAAACCCAAGGACTCCAGCTAGGAAAATATCTGCGCTGAGTGTGTCTGACTGTCTGACCCAGAAAGCCAAAGAAAACCGAGGGCCTGGAGATTCCAATGCCTCTTTAACAGCAGGACATTGGGTGGGTGAAAGATGATGCCAGAAAGTTATGTGACTCCTTATGTCTCAGAGCAAGTGAAAGAAAGCTGTGAACCTGTCAATCTGACCTTAGAAAAGTTTTCTTACCCAACGGCTGGTGATAATGTGGGACCTGTACATGTAAGGAGGTGCTGGACAGCTTCTGTCCTATCTTCCTACAAAAATCTTTCTTGTCTGTATTGCTTTAGAGGGGGTTAAACAGAATTCCTAACCTGCAAGCCAAAATCAAATTACAGAACATCCTTGAAGCATGAGATTAGATCAGAACCACTGTTTTACCAGAGACAAAGCAAGAAATCCCGTTTCCTGCAGGAGGGATTGCATATCTCCACTCTGTCTTAAGACATGCAAACCAAAGAGAGAATGCCAGCATGTTTTGTCAACAAGGGTGAAGAGATGTTCTTATCAAGTTTTCCCTTGCCTCCAAGGACCTGCTGATGGCACCAAGTCAACTCTTCAGTTCTCGTATTATCAAAGTGAAAATTCCTTTTTCTAAAGCCAGACCCATTTCCTTCCTACAAACAAATCGCTGCTATTTGAGTGGGTCCTCTCCAAAACTACAGCTATATTTCTAATTCACCTCAAACCACCTTGCTGGCCTCAGGCAGCAACCTCAGCACTGTACAGACCGCTCCTTAAATTTCAGCTTCCAGCAGGTTTCACTTAGTTAAAATAACATATTACCAAAGTGATCTATTCCAATGGAGATCTCCTCTCCAAATGGACTATCCAGAATCTTGTCATTTTTCTCTTTATTTTGTGATTGACACATTTCCATCCTGACTCTGGGGCAGGATTGAAGTTCAGTATCCCACAAACCCACATGCTAGGAATATATTTCTTATGTCCTTTGAGACCTTGCAAACCCACCCTTTCAAGGCAGATCAAGTGTTCTTGGTTTAAGAGCATGACTTCATGTGAGCCAAAACCAGAATGGGACAGCATCAGGAATTTCTTCCATGTCATATTAATATTTGCCTCTGATTAGCTGCTTCCCAAAAAGTTTACTTCATTTTTTCCCCATTTGTTGTACCCAAGGACAGAATGGCAACAGGCTCTGTAGAGAGAATGATTGAAGCCCAAAGCATCTCAGACACGCATTTTATATAAACACTGCTTCTTCTGAAATATTTGTTCTTCACCTCATGCACTTGTTACTGAGTTGTGGACCAGTCACAAATGGTAATATTCTGGTCTATACAGAAAGCTTCTTCAGCTTTTATAAAGAGGTGTAAACTTCAATTTTCTTCTGTTTTCCCTTCTTCCTCTATCACAACCAGGCACACATTAACACAACCAAGCAGTATATGAGTGAACAAGACTTGAAGGTGTCTGAGTTCTCTTTTCCACCATGGCTAGTTCATAATGGGTTGCAAATAATCTTCTAACACTGATCTTCAGTAAATACAAAAGCCAATAAACTCAGCCTAACCAAGTTAAAGGCCCAATTTAGCTAGCTGTCAGCAAAAGAAGGTGGTTACACTCTAAGAAGTAGGCACCTACCTTTTCCAGTTACAAATGTAGTTTAAAAAAAAATGCATAAAACTTGTTCATGCTACAGTGATGCAAACTGAGTTAATCATTCACAGTCCCAAAGCAGGACAAGAGTTACAATGCTCAGCTGCTAATAAAGCATAATAATTTCCTTGAAACACCATCCCTTTCTTTTGGAATTGCATCTTTAAATACCAGACTGCTCTCTTTATCAGTGTCATAGGTAGGTCAGCAAAAGGACACACTGCTGTCACTTCATTCCTGGCTGATTACAGCCATAAAGCAGAACAAGGTTTCAAACTGCTTCCTATAAGCTGCAGAATTGCCTGCAACACTGCAACTCAAAGCTTCCCAGTGCTGCCAGCAACAGCATCCTTATTTTGTCTCTGAGAACATGGACAAGGGAGGAACCTGGGCAAAAAATTGGGTGGTTTGGCTTCAGCTGATGATGCATCTCTCTGTGATGCTGGTTTAGTTCTGATTTAATATGTCCAAACAGAGCCTCTTTCTCCTCGATAAAGGCAGAAAGTGAATTCCAAAAAATAATGCAAATGCCAGTGGACTGTCAACCATAGGACCTGACAGGTGGTAATAATATATAGGTAAATGCAATGCAAGATCTGGGAAAGCTTTACCTGATCTTAGACCCTTGAGATATCCTAGAGGGCAAAGGTTACAGGTGGAAAGCTCCCAAAGTGCTTCCTGCCTATGAACAACAGCATTCCTGTGTCTGTCAGTTAAGGCCATTTTGGGGTGCAGAAAACAGATCTCTCTGCCCTGAGTTCTCCAACCTGTGCCAACCTGCAGTAGTTAGTGCACCCACTGTGGAAGTATTTGAACTGTAAGAGAGAGTCTGGGCTTCAGAGAAGATTTAGCAAGAGAGGTAGAAAACATTTCAGCACAGGAAACAGGAAACAGAAACCCTTTCCAAAGGGTTTGGTGGTCAAACCCTTTGGAAAGGAAGGTTCAAACCTCTTTGTGTGGAGTAGTGTCTGAATTTCAGGGAACCCATCTCCTCCAGTGAGTCAGTGATCTGAGCAGGGCCTCGTGCTGCTGGAGAAGACACATGGAGTAGCCCTCTTAAGCAGAGAAAAGTATAGGCCAGGCAAAGAATCACAGACAGACATATCAGGGTCCAAAGTCATCTCCCAGAAGAAACTATGGGCATCTCTGGGCCTGGCTTATGCAGAAAACTCAAACCGGACCCACCTGGGCATTGCCTACAGGTTGGACTCTGCATGTGGGTTGCTGAGTGTCATCAGTGCCATCCAAGGTACCTCTCTCTCCTTTGCTGTTTTTGGAACTCAGGTGCCAAACAGCACTTGGGATTTTCACTTCTGTTTATGCAATGCAGTACTGAGCTTCACAATGCCTAAGATCTTCTTCTGGACCAGTGCCAAGACCCAACAACAACTCAGGTAATTCAACCTGCTTGTACAACAAATTCCACCAGCATCCCCCCTCCCATCCCAGTCAAGATATGGAAGGCTTTTCCCATATGCTGTGTATGAATGCTCATTTAAACATTTTAGTGAGAGGTACATAATATGGAATGATCTAAAGAAATCACCTTCCTGATGCTGGCCTCACGTAGCTCCCTCCAGGCCAGGAGAGCAGAGGACACCAGGACCAATAGGGTCTATCTTGCACCCTTTTCTTTGTAGAGGTTACCTTGGGGTAGGTTTGAAGCACATATCAGAGTACATGAGATGATGTTTTGTGCTACCACCATTATCAAGCAGTTCTACCAAAAGAAGAACTACAGAATTATCAATGCTGTTATTTAAGTACTATAAGCAGGACATCAGGGAGTACAGGACACCTCTGTTGGTAGCAAACACCTACCCTGCATTGCCAGGTCTCTGGGCCCTGCTGTTCGTTCTCCTCTCTGAGGTTGTTCCCAGCCTGCAGGCAAGCTGCAAACATTGAAACGTGCGCTCTACATGAACAACAGAAACAATTTTTAGATCATATTCAAGTGCCTAATTGGCTAAAATTCAAAGGTGTCAGAGAGAGAGCAGCCCTTGAATAAAGCATCAGACGTAGAGCTGTTGTTCCAACTTGCCCATGCTCTCCCACTCTCTGCTACCCCTAATCTTGTGATGGCAGAGCTGACACAGCTCAGACAGCAGGGCAATGAGCTTCCAGCACATGAAGACACACATTCAAGGTTGAAGGTCCTCCCAATGAAGTGTCTTTCTGTTTCCAAGGAGTATACAAATTGCTGCCCAATTGGACTAAGGCCCCAGGTTCCTAACGGCAAAGTGGAAGCCCTTCCCACCACCAGGATGTAGCAATCAGTGTTACAACTTGTATTTGACATCTTCCTTAAATCCCCAGCTCCTAGAGTCATGGTGTGATGTGAGACTCAGTTATTTTCACAAAGATTAAAGTATTCTCCTAGCTCCTCTGCTTGAAAGCACACTTCAGACATGACATTTGCTGGCTCAACATCAAAAAAGCAATTAAAAAAGACCCACACTGACATTCTTCTATACAGACAGATGTTTAAGTCAGTGTTATGCTGAAGTCATTTTCATACAGATTTGTGATCTTTTACATTTCTGAGCTTAGTGAAAACTACTCTACCAACCCCTCTAGGGATATGACCAATAAAATAGTAGCCAAACTGTGTGCTTCTTAGTACCTGAAACTTTCTCAGTGTCCTTTATCCAAGGACTGCATTACTTATTTTTTTATTTTTTTTTCCAATTTCCATGCCTTCCTCAAACCTTATGTCTGTGTGCATTGTAGTCACAGTCCCCAAAGCTCACAAGTTACCTCCACTGCAGCCCTCCAGCTCATGTCTCAGAAGCCAAAATGATAAAAGCTTGCAACAATGTAAGGTGTAGTTGAGGAGAAAGGAGAAAAGATGTTGATGCAAAGGAATGACAGCTCTGGCCGATTCTTTAGTTCCTCTTTTCACATGGAAACAGCATGGTCAGAGCACAGTGCTGTACTCACGAAGTTCTCCAAGCAAAACAAGGTGCCTAAGAAGCAGCACACGTTTCACGTTTCTGGCAGTGCCTGTCCCCACTTGTCCTGCCATGTGTGGCCTAAGAGTTGACATATATACCCACTGCAATGAAGTGAAATTTCCTCTCTGCATTTAGGAGATTGATGAGCGGACAGTGTTTGTTTCGTGCCTTTTACTTCAGGCTTTTACACGTGCTGGGAAGAAACAAGCCTTCAAGGGAAGGAATCTGAGTGTGCAGCCATTCACTTACAAAGCATGCCCCTCTATCCAAGGGATTTCAGAAGTGCCTGTCACACCCATCTCTGAGCATGCACCATCACATACTGGATATTATTCCAGCATTCATCATTTGACTGTGATCCTGCAAGATGAGCAGCTGTGACATCTCTGTTTACAGGCCTAGCAACAGCATCCAACCACACAGAAGCAACAGCAATGCAATCCTGAGGTTATTTAGGTAGAAAGAATGAAAGAGAGACTAACTGTAGCGGCAGCATGCTGAACAAGGCCAGCTCCCTAACATCTCAGGTCTGGTGAGAGCCTTCCCCAGATTCATGTCTTGCAGCGATCCAGGGGGACTTCTGCTTCCCCTAAAGGCAATGCAAGTTGCTCAGCCCCATCTCTGAGACTCACCTTCAAGGTTCTTTTGAACTGCAGCCTCAGATGCCTCAGCTCCTTTGTACAAGGGACTTTGCACAGCTCCGTGCAGGAAGGGCAGATAAATGCCAAACTGGTTTGTTCCTTATGTTGCTTTTTGGCAAATGTCTGCAGCCTTGTTACTAGCTAGGGGTAACAAAACACGTGAAGGAGATCTCTGAGTGAACCTGAAGGCCCATTCTTGCATCTTTCTGAGCATTAGGAACTGGAAAACAGCTGCAGAAAATGATTTTCTCTATTAGGAGTGAGAATGCTACAATTCAAGTTTGGTGTGTCTGTGTTTGGAGTGCATTGGTGGAGGGAATGAGTTGTATTTGGAGTTTGGACCTGTGAGTTTTTGCATCTCTGTGTCCAACCCCTTGACCAGGTGTGTGCAAATATTCCTGTGTCCTACACATGACACATACACATGACAAACAGAAAAATGTCCCCAGTCTCTTGCAAGGCAGTGAGAACAGATGTGAAGGCAGTGGGCCTCATCCTTTTCTGAAAACTGGGCCCGACAACAGCTCCAGGTGTGAGCTGAGAGCCCTACTTGCAAGTGTTTTCACACAAGGCCCAACTTCTCTAGTCATTGCTCCAGCAGCTAGGAAAAATGAAAACCTCTTCTCAAAATAAATCTTTCAGGCAGTGTAAAGCATCAGCTGCTCCCCCTGTAAGGCAGCAGCTTCCCGTTGAAAGTGTCTTTGGGGGGAATGTGTCAGCTTCATGCCTGCAGCTCCCTGTCCTCCAACACCATGAGGAAGATGATGACAGTTTTGAGGATGCAGTGATAAATCCATGCCTGTCCTCAGGCTCTACAGGATGTCAAGGGCTTTGTTGTGGTCACTTTTCCCAAGGAACCAGGATAAAACTGCATGATGACAGTCCAGGCTCTGCAGCTGCTCCTTGAATTTGCCCCCAAGCTCCTGCAGTTGCAGTGTAGTCTTCTCGCTCATGCCTCTCTGTCAAGAGCAAAGAGGGTGGTTGCTTGCCAGTTCACTCTCATCTCCAAATTTCTCCTCAGTACTCAGCTGCCTTTCTGGTGATACATGAGAGATTTCCATGGGAAGGACTCCTCTGACCCATCTGGTTTGACATCTGCTCTGGTCTAGGTTTCTTCCATGTCACAGTT